TGAAAAGAATACCAAACCAAAATTAAAAAAAAACTACACTCCATATAACATGCCCAAAGATTAAGTTATCCCAGAATACCCTAAGAGAAATTAAATATTTTATTAATAATATATTTAAGTAGCTTATAAAATTGCGTTAAAATAATCGATATTATCGTGCATAGAAATTACCATCAAAATATAGGTCGTTTTTCGTTTTTAAACAATCAAGAATTTTGATCCATTTCAATGTTCTTACTACTGATCATTACGAAACAACAGATCACTTATATTTGGAATCGCCATCGGAGTGATCGGTGGCGATATTCTTGTTGGAGAAAATATATTATCTGATGAAGATCGAGCATATAAACTAGAAGTGATTCCATTTAGGCTACTATAACTGCTAATAACATTTGAATGGCGGCGACCTATTATTCGTGGAGTTGTTTCAGGTAATAAGAAATTTGATTGGGAACCAAAATTTTCAATTGTATGGGTTAGGGAACTTGAAGAAATGAACGAGGGAGTCATTGGAGGATTTATTAATTTTTTTGGAGATAATGGTGAGAAATCCATAGAATACATTGACCGAGTCTTTTCGGATGAACCTAATGATGAGTTGCTATCCCTTGGCTTTGAAGAACGTCTTTGACTAGTCGGTGATGGTTCGCTCGATGGAGTTGTAGGTGATACCGTACTTGTGGGCGATAACGATGACGTCGGTGATAAGGCAATTGGAGAAGTAGGTGTTACAGAAGCTGTGATAACATGAAACCTTCCAGTAACACCTTTTACGGTAGACTGAGTAGTCTGTGCGATAAGTGAACTTTCAGAAATAACAGTAGGAGTCTTTGGAATATTATCGTATATAGAAATAGAGCCAGTAGTGTTCCTTGGAATGCTATTACTACGTTTGTGAGTTTTTAATAAAAGATCACTCTCTATACTAGAACTACGTGAATGTGATCTAGATTTTGTATTTTCTGATTTAGTCTTGATCGTATTATCAGATAAAGGATTATGAACATCATTGTTTTTTCCTAATTTCAAAGTCTTTTCAAAATCTACCAATTGATATACAAGACTCATATTAGGACATATATAAGGACTCCTATCCTTGACGAACTCGTAAGCTTGATTAAGCGTCATCCGATTTGCGTTCATCACATAGCCAATGATCAGAGACGCGGATCTAGAAACACCGCATTGACAATGGACAAGAATATTTCTACCAGTCGATCGAGCCTCATCGATAAAAGCGAAAGCGGAAGCAAAATCAGAAATAAGATTTTCTTGATTATGCGTCCAAAAGAATTTTTTATACTTTAAAGGACCAAAATCATCTGTTGCGGGAACCGTAAGAGGGATACCTGATAAAGAAACATTGCCGAAAATAGATTGAGCAGGTATTGAATTTGAACGAGAAGGCATTGAAGATCGTTTAAGAGAACTTGAACGATAAACACCCATTGGGGAGGAAATAACCATTGGAGAATCTAATAAAGGAGTTTGTATAGCAGAATGAAAACTATCATTCGAACAATCAGAGCTAGGAGAATAAGGATAATCCTCAAAATAGGGATTATCAACTTCCTTAGCAACGTTCAAAATGAATTCAATGCCGAGTCTATCAAGCATTGATCTATTCGCAGCATTAATTTCAGAACCAAGATATAAATTTTGCATTATTTGTATTGGTTCATCTTTGTAGGGCAGATCTTCACCGATTGCATTTTCAGTCTTAGATATTAGTATCCTAGGATCTGCTATAGGACCTTTTGTTTGATAAACGCATATAGGGGTTGATGGACGCCTATTTTGAATAACATTCGGTGGTAATTGAGGTGAACTAGGGGCAGATATAGAGGAACGAACAGGTGGAACCACCACCTGTAAATTTTTTCTATTACGTCCTTTTGCGGAAGGAGGACTTGGTAAAGGACTTAATAAAGGACTCTTTTCATTATAATCAGTCGCAACAAGATTGTTACAATTTGAAATGGACATAAAACCGACGTTATTAGTGGTATCATTGTCTTGCATTGTTGTCGTAATCGTTTTTGATAATTTCATATTTAGAGCGGCACCGTCGACAGAAATATTAATGCTATGAGACATTGACATTTTTTTATGTAGAGGTGCCTGAGGAACTTTGAACTGATCAGTTTCTTCCACTAAAGACGTTGGCCTAGAACCGAACGGATATGATCTTTTTACTGCACTGGTCATGTAACCAAAAAAAAAAAAAAAAATCAAAAAGCACTTTTTTTGTGCAGAGTAATTACAAAAGCTCAAGAATGTCCAGAATTCTTAACTTTTTTTTTTTTTTTTTTTTTTTAACAACAGCTATTTATATTGACAAAACGGACGCTCCAAAATCCGTTAAATTTTTCCTTTTTGTACAAGTTTTGACAATTTAGTGAAAATTGAAAAAAATGGTCGTATTTTATAATATTTTAGGGGAGCTTTGAACAGGCCAGCTGTTGTAATTTTTTTTTTTTTTTCCTAAAGTTACGAAGGGTAAGATATGAGTAACGTCTGCTGGTGTTACTTCGCCTGAGCCAGGTTAAAAAGTGATTGTCCTTCAATCGTGAGGAGAAGAAAAAAAAAAGAAGAAAAAAAAAAAGGAAAAAAAGAGTGACTATTTAAAATCACACACTAGACCAAGGAAGGGTGTAATTGACCGAGTAGTCGAAAAAGATCTAGCTAGTTGCCCTTTAGCTGAAGGGCCAACGGAAATATATATGAAATCTTAAATTGATGATATACCAAAAACCATATAAATATGTATGCGTGATGGTTTAGATGGAAAAGGTGTCGGTATATTTTTAGCAGATACGGTAGTCAGGTGGTTCAATAATATCCAAAAGAAAAAGGGGTTAAGAGGAATGAATGAATGATTTGATATCTTCCTGCTACCTAACAAGTTGCGTGAAGCACAACAGACCAAAAGTGGTTTATGTGATAAAAAAAAAAAATTCCGACCCTAACTCCAAATCCAAAGCATTAAAAAAAGGAATGGAAGATGGATATAAATTCAGGTATCGGAGAGGGGGAATAAAAGGGCAGAAAAGTAAGGAAAAAAAAAAAAAAAAAAAAAAAAAGAAAAAAAGCTTAGTATAAAAATATATATACATAACAGTGTAAATTAGGTCGGGTCACAAACGAACACAACAGAAAAGCAAATAATATATTTGATACATTACTCACCTCTAAATATACAATGAATATTTATTATTACAATTTTAATGATAGCATGTATTGAGTCTTTCTCTTTTTCGTTTAAATCATGAAATGGAAAAGAAGAAAATCTTTTTAAAAAATTATCCTTTAAGGGTTTGATTAATATGTTTCAGAATTTAATAAGAAATCCTTCTAATGCCGGTAGGAATTATAATCTACTATAAGCTTTTTTTTTACATGCATTAATTTAATTACTGCGAATCATAATTACAAATTGCGGATCCAAACCAAGCGTAGACCCTTATTTCAGTTCCCAGGCATCCTTGACCAATCTGAACGTAGTTTCTATTAATTTTTTTATTAATAAGAACTTCATAGCAAGAGAATCATTGCATAAACATATTATTAAAGGGTTTGAGTATATTTTTATCTTGTGTTTCTATAAAAAGATCATGCTGTGACATGCACCATAGTTGATCTAGATTCACCGTCCTTGAACATGTTCATATTACATTTGTTTAATAATTATTATCAGTTTATGCTGATGATATACCTGCCTTGTTAGAGCCCCATTAGTTCTCTTTCTCAAATGGCATTTCTTTATTTGGCTTAAAATTTCCTTTTGATACAAACAATCAATCGTGCAAATAAGCTATGCACAGCATCTCCAGATTAAGAACAAACATCAAGAAACATCTATATTTAGCATAAAACTAAATTAGTTATGTACTTAAATTATTCTGATGAATTCCCTTTCCAAATTTAAACATTTGGTACCAATTGAATTCCATAGGAAAAATCAACAATTACTCCGTTTTAAAATCCTTACTTTATATGCTATAAGTGCTCTTTCCGTGATCACACATTACTATCCTTTTTTGGGTTTCTTTATGTAACATTTATAAATTTTTATTAATCTTATTACGCAATTTCGACACAGAATCTACTTTTCTCCTGATTGACATTTTCTTTTGCTTACAGTCTTTTCATACTAACAGTTTTACCTTTTCTTATAATAGTTTGTGCTAAAAAAACGTCAATTCATCATGTTTATAATGCGTCACTTGTATTACAAATAGTTAATAATTATTGTGTAAATTTGTAATTCTCACAATTATCTGTTTTTTTTTAATTTATTATTAATTTTATTTTTTATTTTTTTACAAATTAATTTAATTTTCATTAATTGTATTCTTAATTGCATTCACAAATTGCATTTACTAATTGCATTCACTCATTGCATCACTAACTGCATCAACTAATTACATTCACTAATTACAAAATCTGATTTGGAATAATGATTTTTATTAATATGGATAAAGTTATTTGTTTGTTCTGTCGCTCAAATAGGCGCATTATAATCGTCGTTTAAAAATTGAAAGCTATGACGAGCCATTAAAATTATTAAAATTATTTTTTTTTACCATATTAAAGTTTGTGATCTATGCTTTGCCATTTCTTAGAATATGTGTAAAATAAATTAATAAAATATGTTAATGCAAGTATTTTATATATTCGGAACACTATCATTAATCTTACCTATAATTCTCCATCCGGTTGTTATGGGATCTGTTAAATAATCTTCTTGCTTGGTAATCACACATAAGTATGTGGATTGATCGATTTGATCTTCTCGTCCATATATTATTTCTTTGGTCATTCGATCACGAAATACTATAACTTCCTGCGTATTAAACGATACAACTAACACTGGTATACCACTCTCAAGTACTTTGGCTGTCGCCAACTTAATAAACAATTATGATTGCCGTTAAAATGGTTTTATTATTAAAGGTATATGCAATCAAGTTTAATTTTATTTGCTCACCTCTACATCTCTAATATCCAGCACCCTTGAATCGCTTACAAGACCTTGCTGAATCTGTGATTGCACACCATGGTTCAATATTGAATACGTCTATATTTATTTAATTATCTTTAATTAATCTATAAATAAATTTTGCTTCTATTCATTAAATTACGTTAAATATTGTTATTAATAACTCACTGCTTCTGAACACCATATTTT